ATTTGAGTTTGGTTTGATTTCAAACTTTTATAAAATTTATAGTTTGAGTTTGGTTTGATTTGGGGTTTGATCAAACTTAAATCAAACCTGGATCAAACAATGGAACCCTATCTCTTAGTGAGATTCAACTATCAAGTGCTACAAATAAAAACATATATATATATATATATATCCTTTAGCAAGTTTTACCAAGACCCTATGCCCCCTCCAGTTATATACCCAATCCAAAGATTAGTTACTACATGCTTTTTGCACAGGATCATGTCTGGACTTCTGGTACCACATTGTATACCCGGATTCAACCACCGCACCAATGTCTAGAGATGTCGGATTACCTTTCTATTGTACTGGAATTTTACCAGCCAATCCGGTATCACCACGAGTTCTTGTAGTATCTTTATCAGACTTTGGCCTCACATTACATCTTATGACTTTGGTTATTCCAAATCAGGGTTCTAACATGTCTCACTTTATAGCTACAACTTTTCAGAATAACTATTCCCCAAATACATCTATCTGTAGATGTCCCAGATTTCCTATACCTCGTGGTGTTTCACTTCTATATTTGGTTTTTCGTTATTTTGCTGCTGGAATGAATTAAACTGGCAACCTTCTGATTTGCAACCTGGGAGTATAATCGCTATGCTATTAACCCTCAGGTCAAATAAAAACATATATTATTATTATATAGCTATCAAAGTTGTAGTCTCAGAAAAGGAAACCTCAGTAATATTTGTAAATTAGCAGTCTGCTACTATCAAAATATGCATCATAATGACAAAGAATATTGTGAATTAGTGTGTCAAATAATCAAGTACAAGATAGGAGTTGCATCTTGGAATCTTAAATATTCTTCCAATTTAACACCTAGTTTATGGCAGAAAGTTGTCAAAGATGAGTATACACATTTACAAGAGCTAACAAAAACTATGTTTGCTATTGTGCCCTCTCAAGCCATTTGTAAAGAAACTTTTCTTTTTTAAAGTGGTTTAGTAAAGGATGCCATACATGGCTTCAAGTCCCAAGATTAGAAAGTATGGTGCAAATATACTCCTTCTATATATCAAATATATAATAATAGTAAATTTTTATGATAATAATTTTGAAGAGACAGAATTGCATAGTAGTGTAGTAAATAAAACAATCTTTGCAAAAGTGGATAATATTGAATCAAATAAAAGTGAAGAGGAAATAGAAATTGAGGATTTTATATTACAAAGGTTCTTCAAGATTTGGTAGATCTGTTAGACCCGACATTTGGAGCAAATAATAAAGAAGAAATCACTTTGATGGATGAGGAAGAAGCCACTATGATATTTTATAGTAACTCTTTAGTTCAGAATAAATTAAGTGATAGTGATTTATATGAATAATACTATGTAAATTCACTTTGTATATTGAACCTTACCCAAGTTTTTTTCTTAATATTCAAATTTTTTCTACATATTCAATATTTGGGGTTTTTTTTTATATTTAAGGTTTTCTTTTTCATATTATTACAGATAAAAGTGCTAAGAATTGTTTATTCTTAGTAATTGATTATAAATTTAAGTGCTTAATGCTAATAAATTTAAAAGAAAAGTCATTTAATAAAAATTCTTTTGAAATTTAAAGAAAAAAAATTTGGGTTGTTATATAATTTTTCTGTCTTTGATTAACCTGTGATTAAATTGTGAGCAGAAAACAGTTGAAACTTGATAGAGAAGAGTCTTTTTAGTAAATTGGTGCTCAAACAGAATACTGAATACTATGATCATGACAAGTATGTAGTATATACATATGTACATTGTAAATGTGAAAACTGATCCAGAATCTCTAAATATGGGTCTCACGGATATCACAATCAATAAAACTAATCAAATCAACACATTAAACTACAGAACTCTATCAACCCCAATGGTGGAAGGCACAATCAAGGCGTGGAAGACTTGGTCCGAATTATTAGGGCCAAATAGAGCTCTGGATTATGTCACGAGCTCTACTTCTGAATCACGGGTTTAGACTACTAACTCTATGCAAATTTAATTTATCGGGGTAATTGGAGCGAACTTTAAAGTCAAAACACTAGACACTCTATGAGGTCAAACTCTCACTGAATTTCTCCAAACGCTTCCTCAGTTTTTATTGAAGCGAAATGATAGGTCTTAAATACTTTAGACCAATGCTGCGCACATGAATACTTTTTACTAACATCTGCTATTCTAATATGTTCTATTTTTAGCAAATTTAGGATAAGAGGATCGATCAAGTGCAAATCGCACCACGAATAGGGGCAAAACTGCTCCAGGTGCGAAATCGTCCCAGATGCAAATTTGCCCCAAGGTATGAAATTCCTATTTTTAGTAACATATACTGTCCCAACTTCGTAAGAATAAGAATAATACTAATATACTAACAATAATACTAGACAAAAAATAAAATAAACAACATAAAAAACAAAATTTTGGATCGCGGTCACCTGGTCCCCTTTTACAACGTACAACTGTTAAAGTTCGTGTGACCATTTTTGACTCGATTTGCATTTCTTATTTGGGATAAATCCCAAACCAGTTTTTACATGTAAGAATTTGGGGTAATATAGATTACACGCCGAAATGTTTGACATTACGGCAAATTAAACACATTTTGCGAAACCTAGTAAATACTATTTGGGTTTCTAACAAATCCCAAACTAGTAGGTTTGGGGCGCAACCCTAGATATAACCCAGTGAGATATAACTCAGGTATGACTGTAGATAACAACGGCTCTTAATTGTTTTGATCATTTTGACAACTTTGATCGCTTTCATAATTACTCTTGTAAATATATATATACATTTTAATACGTATACATCAATTTATTAATTACATAATATGTGCGCAATATTTTACATTTCAATAGTTAATAGTCTATTTTATTAATTTACGAAATAACGGAAAATTTCCGATTGTTAAGAAATTATATCGGAATTTTTTTCAGTTAATCGGAATCTCCGGTACTTTACAATAGCTTTTTGTGCTCAGGAATGTGCCACGACCAGTGTTGGACAGTGAACATAAATTTTTAAAAAAATCGATTTTTTTTATTTTATGTTTACATTTGTGGACATAAAAAATATAAATAATCTTATCTAATTAATAAATTTTTATTAGTTTATTATTTTTTAAATTTGAACGTGAAAAAAAGTATGTTTACAAAAATTGTCACATTGCCTTTTGAATTTTCCAACACTGATCACAGTTAAAATCAAGCACAATATATGAAACCTGAATGAATTATATAATTAACTTTTTTATTTTAACGCTATTTCCCAAAGTAAATAAATAGATATTAGTTACAGTCATTATTTCTTGAAGGTGTAAATCCTTTTTTGTTTTAGAGATAGTGCTGTAAAGAAGCATTTACTAATTATTCCCAATTTTCGGATTCTGATTATTCAGGATACAAAATTAGATGTAATGTGAAAATTAAAAGCCACATTAATCTCAAATTTCTCCTAAGAATTACCTTGTGCACTAACAAACCAAATTTCTTGCTAATTTTGACTCGTTTCTAATCCTAGATACGTATATTTTACAAAAAAATGGCATGTAAATTGAAATGAATTGATTTTTTCAAATAAAATATCGACAATTACTAAATTATGTCGTGTAAATTACACAATGTATAAATAATAACCAATATTAGGGGGTTTCAGAATTAATGATTCGGCGTCCGATTTCAGATAAAATAAGTGACGTATTTATTTCAAAATAAGCAACATACAAATTCTATTTTTTTAAAGTATGTACTTATTTGCATAATCGTTTACCGATGAATGTTTATTTAAAAAAAGCTAATTTTATAACCGGCTATGCCTATTTAACTTTCTGATTCGGAATTTTAAAACAGAAAATAGGTCCTTTTAAACTCTTACTTATTTTGAAAAAAAGTTAATTCTGAAACCCCCTATTATACTGTAAGATTAAATCTATTATGCGCGACACCTTTTATTTGGCACTGAAATATGATGTAACATGAGGAGAACATTAACCAATTAATTACATTGTTAATGTTTATTTACTGCATCAGAGATTTATCGCACCTCAGTACCAAATAAAAAGTGATCCTATAACGTTAATTAGACCAAAAATAAAATTGATAGAAAATTCTGAACTTCTAATCTATTCCCTCATATATAATCATTATTATGGGGTATACTACAAAAATAGAAAGTAAATAAGTACGGTCTAAATTAAATAAAGAAAATTTTGAACATAATGCCGGTACTGTTTTTGCTGGCCCACCCTAGAGTCATCGCAAAATCAAGTGAGTCATAAATTAGAGTAACAGTAGTACGAAATATGAGAAATCCTTTTATATATCAAATATTTTGTTAATTGTAACGGATTACAACTAACTCATGATATATGAAAGCCGACAAATTCTTATATCAAGATTTTCTTAAAATAAGGTTTTTTTTATTATAAAATTTTCAATTTGAACTTATAAAATCTTCTTATATCAAGAGTTTCCTATATCGAAAGCTTCTTATACCGGGAGCTACTTGCATTTATAATTCTCATTTTAAAGGATTATACTCTCGGAGTTTTATTTTTTTTTATCATGATAAATCGGTTTCGGTTTGGCAAATTATGGCAAACACTACTGCGAGCAAGTTATTTGAAAAGATTATTGAAGGAAGCCAAATTATAAACAAGCATGATTATAATTTATTTGGCGATTTTCAATCAATTAGTATAAGCCCGTTTCGGACTGTTCACACCGCAAAATGGAAAGGTTCTACTTACGTTCTTAAAAGCTTAAATATTAACAACAATGAAATTATTAGCAATGGAGTTGTTGCAGAGATCACCAAATTTATTAACAATAAAACTATTCCCAAAACTATTACCAATGAAACTATTACCAATGAAAATATTACCAATGAAATTATTACCAATGAAATTATTAACAATGAAACTACAAATGAAAAATTAATTAGAGCATTTATTAATGAGGTAATATTTTATTTTTTACTTTTTCGAATAAGACTTCGCATCTTTCTCACTTTCCCTAATATGTAGCTTCAGAATCTCGTTGCTCTTGACAAACATGAAAATCCAAACATCATCGAATTTTATGGGGTTACAAAAGGTAATTAAACAATTAAAAAGTTACTAATTTCTTCTTAAAGCGTTATCTTTCGTAAATCAATATCAAGTAATCTCTATTTAAACAGATCCCGTCAAGAACGAGTATAACTTAATTTTGCAATTTGCTGTGGATGGAAATTTACGCAAATACTTAGAGAAAAATTTTTCGGAATTAAAATGGATAGATAAATTAAGATTTGCACAAGAAATAGCTCGTTTTTACATGATAATGGAATTTTTCATCGAGATCTTGTAAGAATTCCTGAATGCAATAAATTATATTGACGTATGATAAATTTAGGGGAATTTACAAATAAGGGCCCAAAAAATGAAAATAATTACAAACAAGGGCCTAATATAAAATTATTACATTTAA